CTTACCCCCGTTGTCGGGGATGATTCCCGACCCACATGGCACCAGACAGAAACACGTCGCACGAACGAGGACCACGAGAGCTTGAACGTGATTCGAGACATAGCCGGCGACAACGTTCGTCCTCGGTCACGCCGTGGGCACGCAGGGCGTTGATGCAGCGGCGGACAGCATTACGAAGCTCGGCCCACGTCGTCGACACAGGGTTGCCGAGCTCAGTCGTCGTGATGATGGCGACGGCATTAGGGGAGACGTCAACGTTCGCCGGGAAGAGGAGGTTCTCCGCAAAGTTGAGACGCGCACCAGCGAAGAAATCTGGGCGCGGGTACATGGGAGCAGCTCTGGGAAGGACCTGCAGGCGTGTCAGTCAGGGGTACTGCGTGAGGCACACAAGCTATCCTGGGCATAGGGTAGTGGAAGGAGGCCAGCGAGACTACCAACCTCATCGAACGACTTGGAGGCCTTGACACCAGAAAAGTGCCAGACCTCCTCCCAAAAGGCAGCCACATTGTCAATGGACCACTGGTAGACGGCAGGATAGTCATTGAGTTGCAGGCCGTACTTTCGAGACGCCGCGGGTGAAGGCCCAGAGTGGTGTGAGGTGGGGTCTGGATGTCTCCAGAGTTCACGCGTGGGTGCCGAGGAGGCCTCGGCTGAAAAATGGCCGTTGACGGCCATGATGGTGACGAGGAAGCGTGCTGTGTTTGCAGGTGATGCACTCGAGCTTGGCGGCCAGTGGCTCTTTCTCGAAGACGTCGTCGTGGTCGTGATGGGAAATTTCTCGGCCTCGAAGAATGGCCCTGCTTGGAGTTCACTGCATCCCCAAAAAACCCGAAAGGGGGGGTGAGCAAGAGCGGGATAGGCAGGTCCCTTGGGTTTCCGTTCAGTTGGGCCGTCGCATTCCGCATTCCGAGCCGAGGGGCCAGGGCCATAGCCAAGGCCAGAACCAGAAGATGGGTGATTTGCTTGTTGGTGATTGTTGGGAGCGAGGTTTCCCCGCCCCCACCACCGACCCGAAGTCCAGGCGACGTGTGGCTTATTTTGTGGCTCATGCAGTGGCTTGCACCGCACTCGTACATGGCTCATGGCAAACCGTGCCTGGGAGGGAGGTCATATCGGCCTGGCAGGTCCTATCGGCCTGGCAGGCCATGATGCCACTGGCAGATCATGTCAGCAAATATGCCGCAAGAAAGGCAACCTAACCAAGTTGGAGGCCACCCAGGTTGTACATGTAGGCACCACTACTAAGCGTAATGACGGGGGTGTCTCAGCCCGCTTCCATTCCTGATCCTGCTGCCTCACTCAGCCTCCCCTCCATGCCTCGTACCTCATGCCCCCATGTCATGCTTTGCCTTGCCATGCCTGCCATGCCCATGTTGTGCCAGACACGAATGCCTCAAGTGGCGCCCTGTATGGGTGTCTGGCCCAAAAAGGGACGAACAGATGAACAAAATCCTTGCTTTGGGAGCAGCAGCAGCAGCAGCACAAGCATCAGCAATGGCCCCGTGATGCTCTCTCGCTACGGCTCGAACGCATATACCGCACAGCAGTGCTGCAGGGCTTCACGCGCGCAAACGGCAGATTGATGATGCGTTGGCACACACGCCGGTTCTGCTCTTTCGCAGTAGCACCCAAGACGATGATGGCATGATGCCGAGAGTTCGCTCACCATCTGACTGCATGGGGAAGTATGTGGGCTGAATAATAAGCGGACAACGGGAGCTTCCATGGTACATGGTACAGCGCCCGGCCATCCCGGACTCTCTATTCGTACCCACCTGCCAGGTGCTTTACATGTAGGTAGCTAGACTGGTACCGCCAGAAAATGCCCGTCACCTCTTTATTTGCGAACATCCCGCACCAGAGCTAGAGAGCGTATCGTCGGCGCCGAGATGTCCGTTTTGCCGGCCAACGTGTCGCTCCATGTGGTCATCAGGTTGCGTTCGGCATTGCAGCTCCCTACAGTGCCTACTGCGCGCGGCCTGTCAGGACTGTCGACTCGGTTCGGAGGCGGAGTGTTCAGATCATGGCCCCATCCCGCGACTGCCGTTCACCCCCAACCTACTAACTCCAACATCGCTCATCGCCTCTGTGCATCGCGACCGCCAAGCCGTATCACGCGTGACGGGGTTTGGGACAGGCTGCAGAGACCGAGATTGGGGCGTCGGACGCGCGCGTTGAGTGGTCGGACCGCCGCTGACGGTTCGGATTGCTCGGGATGGGAATGCACTGGATATGCGGCCCCTGTGCATGGGGATGGCCCATGGGACTCTCTTTCAAGGCCCTGTCTTCTCTCCAAGGCCTGTTCTCCAGAGCCCCAAGAGACAATCAGAAACTCGCCGGGGTACTTCAGCAGCCTTTCCCCCCCCCGTCCCCGTCCCCATCCCCGTCTCCCGTCTCCCGAGCATCCAAGGGGAAAGAAAAACGCCTGTGCTCGTGAGAGGCCCTGTCGATTTGGCCCATCCCGTAATCACTCATCATCCATCGAGCTCGCCGCAATTCCTCGATCCGCCTTCTCTACCCTCTCTCTGTCTCTCTCTCTCTCTCTCTCTCTCACACCCTCGCCCTCTTCTCTCCGTCGTCTCCTCCGGCCTCACTGCTCACCATTTCTTCCGACCCCAGTCTCTCCTTCTTCCAGAAATAAATTTCGAGCACGCCAATCCTCTCCTCGAGATCGGTGACGTCGGATCTCCCCAACGACAACCCCCCCCTAATCCGCCGAAGTACCAACTACAACGTACTTGCAGGACTGCACTGCACCTACCTAGTAGCCCAGCTGTCTGCAGGTGGCGAATCTAATCAAACACGGTTCGCATCGAAAAGTCGAAATTTTTGGCAGCTACTTTCCGCCGGCTCTACGCCCAGTGGCTCCCTCTCGAACCCGAACCCCACCTGCCAATCTGCCCCTGGCTTTTGGCTTTCGGCTGTGACGACCCAACTGCGTGCCTTCCTGCCCATCCCCCCCCTTGCCCCCCTCCCCCAAACAGCCCACGGCAAGCACCAGCCTTCTGCACCTGCAACCTGCACCTCCCACCCTCCCGCGGCACAGAGAGGCTCAGGCACAGGATCCGGCACAGCCTTCCCACCCACACACACACACACAAGTCGATCACGACAACGACAACGAGGCGACGCGCAATCCTGCTTGCTACTCGCTTGCCTGGCTGCTCGACCTGACAGTACCGTGTCGTCTCTACACCTCGACTTGACTTTGTGTGTTCGACGCGCCCTACAATCGATTCTAGCTTTCATTAGCCAAAGACGATAAACTGCATTGCTCAGAGGTCAGTCCTGCCCCCTTTTCTTCTCCCCTCTCACCGGGCGGTGAGATCTCTCGAGCTGTGGTAAACAACCTCTCCCCCCCTGAGATTCAATTCAATCGACTACTGCCTGTCATTGGGAGCCGAATCTCCTGGTGGCTCGTCAGTATCTCCCTCATCGAGGTGTCGGCCATTTTCCTTCTTGGTTCCTCAATGCCCCCTTGCGTCTCCTTCCCTCGTGGCCACGCCGCCACGCGTCTATCGCTTGTCAAGCACCACAACACTGCAATGATCAGCCTGCTAACAAGCTGCAGTTCACCTTGATAGACGTTCGTTCCCGCGAGCTTATCTACCGAGCGTAATTCCTACCTTGCCAGCCGAAAAGAACAAACCACAGCATGCCCCGAGGAATCAAGCTCCCCTTCACGTCCTCCTCCTCCCCCGCCATGCCTCATACCCAATCCGACAAGGAGAGGCGCCCTTCAAGATCCGGCAACAGGATAGCCAACTTTTTCTCGTCCCCCAAGAACAAGGAACAGTCTGCCCAGCAGGCCCTCCTCGCCATGCAGCAGGGCAACATCACCCCCTCGGCCATGGCTCTGCCGACCATCTCCCTATCGACCGCCTCTGCCGGTGAACCCGACAGCAAGCTTGACTCGACCACCCTTTTCTCCCCTCCCTCCGCCGCCGAGTCCGAGAACAAGCGCAGGGCCGACTCGCAGTTCGCGCCCCTGTCCGACCCCAGCCATCTCTACGTGAGCATGCACCACGGCGAGCCCCTCGAGGCGCCCATTGTCGACGACCCTGCCTACTACTTCCTCATCACCACCTACATCAGCTACCTCTTCCTCATCCTCCTCGGCCATATCCGCGACTTCTTTGGCAAGCGCTTCGGCAACAAGAAGCACTATCAGTCCCTGAAGCCCCACAACGGCTACGCCTCCCTGAATGACGACTTTGACAACTTTTACACCCGTCGTCTGAAGCTGCGTCTCGATGACTGCTTCGCCCGCATCACCACCGGCGTTCCCGGCCGCTTCATCTCTCTCCTCGACCGCACCTCGCCTGACTTCAACCGTACCTACCACTACACCGGCACCACCACTGAGACGCTCAACATGAGCTCGTACAACTACCTCGGTTTCGCCCAGTCCGACGGCCCCTGTGCCGACGCCGTCGAGGAGACGGTCAAGCGCTACGGTGTCAGCTTCTGCAGCACGCGTGCTGACGCCGGTACCTCTGACCTGTCCCTGGAGGTCGAACGCGAGATTGCTGCCTTTGTCGGCAAGCCTGATGCTATGGTCTTCTCCATGGGTTTCGTCACCAATGCCAGTTCCTTCCCCGCTCTCGTCTCCAAGGGTTGTCTCATTCTGTCCGATGAGCTCAACCACGCCTCTATCCGCGTCGGTGCCCGTCTGTCCGGCGCTGTCATTGCCGCCTTCAAGCACAACGACATGCACGATCTCGAGAAGAAGCTCCGTGAGGCCATCTCGCAGGGCCAGCCCCGTACCCACCGCCCGTGGAAGAAGATTCTCGTCGTCGTCGAGGGCCTCTACTCCATGGAGGGCACCATGTGCGATCTCCCCGGTATCCTCGAGCTCAAGGACAAGTACAAGTTCTACCTCTTTATCGACGAGGCCCACAGTGTTGGTGCCCTCGGTCCTCGCGGCCGTGGTGTGTGCGACTACTTTGGCGTCGACCCTGCCCGCGTTGACATCCTTATGGGAACCCTGACCAAGTCGTTCGGTGCCAACGGTGGCTACGTCGCCGCGAACAAGAACATCATTGACAAGCTGAGGAGTACCAATGCCGCGACGATGCTCGGTGAAGCCCCGACACCCTCTGTCCTCATGCAAATTCTTTCTTCTCTGAGGATGATCACTGGGGAGCTCTGCCTCGGCCAGGGCGACGAGCGTCTCCAGCGTATCGCTTTCAACTCCCGCTATCTCCGCCTCGGATTGAAGCGTCTCGGCTTCATCGTGTACGGCCACGACGACTCCCCCATCATCCCCATCGCCCTGTACCACCCCGGCAAGATGTCGGCCTTCAGCCACGAGATGCTCAAGCGCAAGATCGCCGTCGTCGTTGTCGGCTACCCTGCCACGCCCCTCATCAGCTCCCGCGCCCGTTTCTGCGTTTCATCCGCCCACAACAAGGACGACATGGACCGCCTGCTGCAAGCTTGCGACGAGGTCGGTGACATTCTGCAGCTCAAGTTCGCCACGGGCATCGCCGGCGGCGCTGAGCCCTTACCCGAGGGCGTAACCCCCGAGGGCGAGAAGGAGTGGCGCCGCGCCAACGGCATCGAGGCCGTCGTCAAGCCGCCACGCTGGAATATGAAGGATATTCTCGCGCACGGCGTGCAAGATTCCAAGATGCGCTTGCGCTAGGCTCGCCAGCCCAGACGCAGGCTTGACCTGGTGCGCGGGCGTGTGCGTGTGCGTGTACGTGTACAATCTGACGACGACGATGGCGGAAGGGGGTGGCGGATTTTGCACGAGATTGTCTGGGCGGTGCTACGGCGTTAAAAGACCATGACCATGTTGTTGAAGTTGTGTGAAAAACAAACCCCCGTTTGCAAAGCAAAGATGAGCAGGCACAGCGAATGAGAGAAGGGGAGAAGAAACACGCATTTTGAAACTCGGAGTCATGGGAACCAAATGTAATCGGGGAAGGGGGGGCTTGCTCCGGCTTATTGGGAGCTACTTGGGTTGGGACGAATCTTCCTCCCCTTCCGTCATGGAGTATCACTGTCGTTTTGATATTGGTTTTTTTTTTCTGTCCTCTTTTTTCCCCTCCTCATTGAAGGATCCCGAATCCTCCTCCTCCCTTGCTCACCCGCTTTGACGGCTGGGTATTCGGTTCAACTGCCTGGTAGGCTTGTGGGGGCACACGAGCTGGCTTATATAGAATAGCATGAATGCACATACTGAATTGCGCCTCGTGTACCCCATTATTATGTTCAGGTGATGTCTGAATCAACAAGCTTGGCTTTTCGCAATTCGGTCAGGCAGTGTGCATCCGTCGTTTCCTCGCAGCACAGAATTCATTGCATAGACATTCAAATTTGGTATGTACTCCGATCCAGCCAATCCAACAGATACACCTAGGCTCCGACCTAAATCATCAAGCATCAAAAACATTCATTCTCTTTTTCTCCCCCTTTTCTACAGCTTGGTAAAGGGCGTGCCGACCTCGCCGCTCATGTCCACAAGCGTGCTCTTGTTGCGCACCCAGGCCTCGAGACCCTTCTTTCCGTCTCGACGCGAGACCGCTCTGCTTCCAGCCGCTACGGACATTTCGGCGGGCGACTCGCCCATGTGTTGATCCAGGTGATGCCGGCCTCGAGGCGCGCGACAACATCGTGGCAGAGGTTGATATCCTTGCCGACAACGCCAGCGGCCAAGCCGAGCTCGGTCGTGTTGGCGCGGGTGACAGCCTCGTCGACGGTCGAGTAGTACAGGATGGTCATGACGGGTCCCGAAAATCTCCTCGCGCGTGATGAGCATGTCGTCGGTGCAGTCGGTGAAGACAGTGGGGGCGGACCCAGTAGCCGTTCTTGAGGCCCGCGGGAAGCTCGCTGCTGGGAATGGGGTCGGCGCCACCGGCGAGCAGTGTGGCCTGTCGTCGTTGATACCAGCGCGAATGTATGAAAGGACCTTCTCCCGGTGAGGGCCGCTGCTGAGGGGACCAAAGTTCGTGGCAGGGTCGAAGAGGTCGCCTGCGCGAACATGGGGCATCTTCTCCTTGAGCGAGGCCTCAAATGCGGGCTTCATGGCCTTGGGCACGAACACACGCGTGCCGTTGGTGCAGACCTGGCCAGAGGAGAAAAAGTTGGCGAGCATGGCGACGTCGGCAGCCTTGGCCGGGTCGGCGTCGGGAAGCACGACAAGAGGTGACTTGCCGCCGAGCTCCATCGTGGCGTACTTCATGCTGCCGGCCGCGGCACCGGCGACCTTCTTGCCGGTGGATACCTGGCCGGTGAAGCTGACCTTTGCAATGGCGGGGTGGGCCGTCAGGGCAGCACCGACCTCGCCGGCACCGTAGACAACGTTGAAGACACCGGGCGGCACGCCCGCCTCAGCGAAGAGAGCGGCGAGAGGCTCGGCGTGCAGAGGCGTAAACTCGGACGGCTTGTAGACGAGACAGTTGCCAGCAGCGAGAGCAGGGGCCGACTTCCACAGAGCAATCTGGATGGGATAGTTCCAAGCTCCAATGGCAGCGCACACGCCGAGGGGCTCCTTGGCCGTGTACACGAGGGCCGAGGGCCTCAAACGGAAGGCCTCGCCTGCAAGACCACCAGCGGCAGCGAGGTTGGCATAGAATTCGAGGACGTCGGCGCCTGTGACAACGTCGACAGCCTGCGTCTCGGAGAAGGGCTTGCCCGTGTCGAGCGTCTCAGTGCGGGCGAGTTCATCGTTTCTCGTGCGAAGCAGTGAGACGGCACGTTGCAAGATACGCGAGCGCTCAAGAGGTGGCGTCGCCGCCCATGAGGGGAAAGCGGCTTGTGCGGAACGAATAGCGGCGTCGATGGAGGTCTTGGAGGAGGTGTGCACGTTGCAGACGGGACGAGCGGTGGAGGGATCGATGGAGGGAATGGAGGCGGGGGAATCACTGGCGGGCTGGGGGCGGCCGTTGTAGATGGTATGGCGGTCGGCCTGCTTGGTGATTGTGACCATGGTGGGCGGGCGGTACAGGAAGTCGATGTCTGGAGTGTGGGCTGATGTGTGGAGAGGGGAAGAGGGAAGAATCGCAGGTGAGACGGGCAGACAAGGCAATGTATGGCAAGGTAAAGCCGAGGGAGTCGGGTGAAGCTGTCAAGGCGGTGGAGCTGCCGGCCGATCTTGAGATGATGGTTGGGGCCAAGTCGTGGTGTGGTGTTGACGAGAGAGAGAGCTCTTCCTCCGATATCAGATGCCCGAGATGGCTTTGGGTAAGCAGGGGTGCATGTGTCAAACTGGGTCTTGGGGCTTCAGGGTCAGACAGGGTGGACGAAGACAAAGATTGCGTGTGACGCACGACGGTACGGAGGAGCCGAGTTTGTCTTTGGAGATGCAGAAGTGATTGTCAGATGGTGAGCCGGGTTGAGTACTCGATTGCAGCTAGTCGATATCGAAGACGACAAGCACCTGCCGGGCCCCGCTCGGCCATGAGTCGTGCCTGCCGACGCTGCCTTGCTGTGGTGTCTTATTGTTGGCTGCAGCTTCCTGCTCTGGGCTGTGTGGGCTGCACTTGCCCGCCCACGTAAAGAATACGTACCGTTGTTCTTGCTGCTCTTACCTCAAGCTAATGGCGCCACCCTACACGCTACAGACCGCACATACCTCGCTCGTGGAGCTCTCGAGCCTTGGGAGTCTCCCCAGTGGACAGGCTGGAAACGGGTGCTTGGCAGCAAGCGCTGCAGCCCGTCAGACAAGCAACCAATGGCTGGCAATGGTCAGCACAGCGATGGTTCCAGGTGGAGAGAGAACGAAACTCGGTGTCAGTGCAAGTGCCCAGTCTCTTTGCAGATTTTTTTCCTTCTGCCTGTCATTCGGCAGCCCACATAGCGGAGCAACCACTACGTCACGACATGCAGGGACATTTTCGGTAGCCTCGTAAGATTGTGGGGACCTCCTGCTGTGTGGTGCTCCGCTCCTGCTGCATCGATCTGCTACCTCTGCTCCACTGTCACTTCCTCAATCCCAGTGGCTCCTTAGTACCAAGACCAAGGCACCACCAAGCTCGGGCTTGCCGGCACAGGCTCTCTCCAAGCCAAACCCGAAGTCCCCTTGATTGACCATGAAAAAGCCTTCTTGTCGACGGAAAAGCCCAGAGAACTGTTCACCATGGTGGCCGTCGATCGCGACCCTTCTCCAGGTGAGGGATGAAATCAGGGTCGTCGATTGACAGCAACAAGAAGAAAAAGGGTCGCCGTCAAATTCAGGGTTCCCCGAAATGCCCGGCCCTCCCTCCCCCGCCCCTTACCCTCAACTCCATGCTCCAAACCACCAAGCATCGAGCAAAACATCATCATCCTTGATTTCCCACAGCGCCGGCCTCTAATCGAGTGCCCGCCCGCGAGTCAAGACCACGAGACTGCGCCGTTTTCACCGCCCTGTTACGCCCCCGGCCATCTCTCTTTCCACCCGATTGCCCGCGTTGGCGCCATGGCTTTTGTGGGCCATGAGACGGCGAACATGGACCATCATGTCACCCCGCCTTGTTGCTGCTTCGGCATGCCGGTGCTGGTAGCTGACGGTACTGGCTTCATGCATCGGACGGACAGACACCAGCACCCAGCTAGCTGGCCCCTGGTCTGATCGATCAGTCAATCGGTCTGTCAGCTCGCCTTTGGTGTCGACCACTCATGGACACCGTATTAGATAAAAAGCTGAACATTCCGCCATCATCTCTTTCTTCTCTCCCCCCCCCCTTCTTCTTGCCCATTGCTCTCACTACTCCAACTTCTTCTCCTAGCGTCGTCGTCTACCATCTGAGATACCCCCCCTCCTCTCCATTGACGACTTGACGATCGCCATTGACCACCCTCGCCCCGGACACCAGCATCTGATCACTGGTCCACGCCAGACACCATCACCATGGCTACCACCGATAACCTTCCCGCAGCCGACGTCAACAAGTACGACTATGTCATTGTTGGCGGTGGTACGGCCGGCTGTGTCATTGCTGCTCGCCTCGCCGAGTATCTCCCTCGCAAGAACATCCTCCTGATCGAGGCCGGTCCCAGCGATTTCACTGACGATCGCGTTCTCGATCTGCGCAAGTGGTTGGGTCTGCTTGGCGGCGAGCTTGATTACGACTACCCCACTACCGAGCAGCCCATGGGTATGTGCTATCCCTTATCTTTCACCCTCACTGCCGCAAGCTAACAGCGGCCCCTTCTCTCACACGCACAGGCAACTCACACATCCGTCACTCCCGCGCTAAGGTGCTCGGTGGCTGCTCTTCTCACAACACCTTAATCTCATTCCGCCCGTTTGAGCATGATCTCGACATCTGGCAGTCGCTCGGTGCCAAGGGTTGGACCTTCCCGGTCTTCATGCGTGTCCTCGACCGCCTCCGCAACACCGTCCAGCCCGTTCACGCCCGCCACCGCAACCAGCTGTGCAAGGATTGGGTCCTCGCCTGCTCCTCTGCTCTCAACGTCCCCGTCATTCCCGACTTCAACCGTCACATCAAGGACACCGGTTCGCTGACTGAGGGTGTTGGTTTCTTCTCCGTCTCCTACAACCCCGACAACGGCCAGCGCTCCTCGGCCTCGGTGGCGTACATTCACCCCATCCTGCGCGGCGAGGAGAAGCGTCCCAACCTGACTGTCCTTACGAACGCTTGGGTCTCGCGCATCAACGTCAAGGATGACGCCGTGACTGGTATCAACCTGACTCTCAAGGACGGTACCAGCCACACCGTCAACGCCAAGGCCGAGACCATCCTCTGCGCCGGTGCCGTTGACACACCGCGTCTTATGCTGCACTCTGGTCTCGGTCCTGCTCAGCAACTCCGCGATCTCGGTATTGAGGTGGTGCGTGACATCCCCGGCGTTGGCGAGAACCTTCAGGATCACCCTGAGAGCATCATTCTCTGGGAGCTCAACAAGAAGGTGCCTGAAAACCAGACAACCATGGACTCCGACGCTGGCATCTTCCTGCGCCGCGAGCTCCCAACGCTGGTGCCACTCAGAGCGCCGCCAACCCCCAAGGTCTCGCCGAAGGCCAGATTGCCGACGTCATGATGCACTGCTACCAGATCCCCTTCACTCTGAACACCGGCCGTCTCGGTTACCCCGAGATGAAGGACGGTTACACGTTCTGCATGACCCCTAACATTCCTCGTCCCCGCTCGCGTGGTCGCATCTACCTGACCTCCGCCGACCCCAAGGTCAAGCCCGCGCTTGACTTCCGCTACTTCACCGACCCCGAGGGCTACGATGCCGCCACTCTCGTCTACGGCATGCGCGCTGCCCGCAAGGTTGCCGAGCAGGCTCCCTTCAAGGACTGGATCGCCAAGGAGGTTGCTCCCGGCCCTGATATTCAGACCGACGAGGCTCTGTCCGAGTACGCCCGCCGCGCCGCCCACACCGTCTACCACCCGTGCGGCACCACCAAGATGGGTGACGTTCACAAGGACGGCATGGCTGTCGTTGACGAGCATCTCAAGCTCCGTGGTCTGCGCGGCGTGCGTATCGCCGACGCTGGTGTCTTCCCCACCATTCCCTCCATCAACCCCATGTTGACGGTGCTTGGTGTCGGTGAGCGCTGCGCCGAGCTGATCCTCGAGGAGGCTGAGGCTCTGAACGCTGAGAAGGCTCAGGCCAGGCTGTAAGTGTCGTTGGTCAATGTCTGCGTTATTTTTGTATAAACAGAACAAATTGGACAATCGGGTGTGAGGAGGAAAACAGACATGGCCGGGCTGTATTGCCGGGTCATCTGTCTCGCGGTGAGGGTCAGGCCTGCCGCGCCCTTGACTACTGAGGGGGTTGGCGGCCCGCTTTGTGGGGTTTGCCGCCGCACACGGGAGCCGCATGGGGCGGTCGGTGCGACGCGAGCGCGAATTGATCGAGGCTCGCTGCCTGTGAGGGCAAAGATTATACCATGTTGTAAATATCAGGGAAAGCAAAGCGTATATTTTTTTTCTGATTTGAATCACATCACATCAGTCCTGGGGCTGCACAGCCGAGTGAAGTCAACGTCTGACAAGCAGTGTGACAATCAGGCCAGCAGCCGGAGCGAAAGCAAGGCGGCACAACGGACATTATCGTTCCGGGGATGCAGAATACATCGGGAAGGCGCACACGAGTCTGTGGACGGTTATTTCTTCCTTTTATGCAAGGCATGGGCCCTCGTCCCTTGTCGTGCTGACGTTGCATGTGTCTTCGACAAGATCTTTC